GAGTAAAGGGATTAAGGGTTTGTTCAGGGCCTGGGCACAGACAGTGCAGTGACAACCTGTAAGATCCTGTAGTGCCATGATGATTAATGAGCACCTGTCCTAGGAGACAGAGGCACCACCAGGGCTCTTGTTGTCAACCTTGAAGCACCAAGAACAGGAACAACTTTTGATATCAGAGAGGTGCCCAAAGGTGGAATTCCAAGTCCACATTGAGACAGGCTGGCACGTGGCAGGGAGCTTTGTTCTTGAAGAACAAACAGTGGGGAGGAGATTAGAAGATCATCATGACTATAAATCTGTGATGGGCAAAGGCTGAATAAGACACAGGACTCTAACAGGGTCAGTTTCTCAAAGATTATGTGCTTTTTTTCTTACAAAAAGTACTAACTTCATCTTGAGGTACTAACCTCACCATGTTATACCAGTGGCTGCTTCTCATCAGGATCAAACCAGGTATGCAGGGTATCATGGAGGAGCCTCAGCATTTGCATTATCATGGAAAATCAACTACAGAGAAGAGGACAGCGGGAGCTTACACTGGTGACCAAAGACTGGCATTTTGCCTGCAGTGACCACCTTGGGCATGTCATATCCAACAAACAAACTGCACAAATTTATGTGGGATAACATGCACACATGATAATAATTGTTATTTTCATAACACTGTGTTTAGCAATATTTTTTGCCTGTCAATCTCATTGGCCTAGCAGACAATATTATCTTACTCAGATGTGATACTGCTGCACAGAGTGGAAAATAAATCAATGTATCCCAAGGGCTCATCCAAACACAAAGCATAGAGATGATATGTGCCCATACATCTCTATTTCCATAATTGCTGCTCTTTTGTGATTTTGATTTTTATTGCCAATGTGCCCATTTATGCCTAAGTGGTCAAGGATAACCTAGAATCCAGATGGGGAGATAGTGGGTGGCAAATTCACAATAGCCCCACATGTCTACACTGAAGCTAAATCTCAGCAAGGCTCCCTTGAAAACCTTCTGAAACTGTGCCTTACTCAGGAGCAAAAAGCTAAGGATCCTCACCACAACCATGAACTGCAGAGTCTGCAGATCCCATGGAAGACTAACCATCTATAAGTACAGCCCTATTATTGCAGGCCTCTCCTTCATTGTATGTTCCTGATATGTAAGGTCACACAGAAAAAAATTGTTTCTTTAGGTGACTTCCAGTCATGCCAGTTGTATTTTCTAGCAGACAGGGAATGGCTAACACATACAGGGCTTAGCTGGTGCTTTTGACACCATGGAGGCTGAAGGTCTTTTCTGTACCTAATCAGTGAACTCTGGACAACAGTGTGAAAATATCTGTGTTACATTTTCTCACCATGTCCTTTGGATGTCATGGTCAAACAAAACAACATTCAAGTGCTGTCTGGTCATCAATATAGATATTGGAGTCATATAAATCTGTTGATTTCACTTCTTGAAATTACTACCAGTATTGATGGTGATGAATGAGGAAGTCAGGTTTTTGATGTAAGGGAAAACAGACATAATAAGGTGTTATTGTGATTAGAAGTTAGACATTCTGCTGTTTATACAATGGAGTTTGAAAGCAAATTTTTCTATCATAATTTGTTTTATGACCCAGCCCTCTTTTCTCAAATTCAGGCCCCATTGAGAACATGAGTTGATGTCCCCCAGTCCTGATATCCAAACACTGGGACAACTGCCTCTTTTATAATGGTGTTTTTGCTTTGGGGTTTCTCTGTTAACAAGTAGAATCACATAGTGGAAGATTAACTTTCACTCACCTTTCCATGTCACAGTGAATTCAGGTGACTGATGTCTTCTACAAAGATGCACATTGCTGAGCACAGACCCCTTTTATGCAAGCACCAAGTCTTCAGTGTACCTCTGAAGTTCCTGTCTTTCATTTTGTAGAGGTCATTGGCCTTTACAAATATCTGTGATTTTCTGAGACCAGCGACAAGTGTTTGTCCTAGTGACTCTTGGGATAGAAACCCAAGGAGAAAGCTCTTAGGATCAATTAAAGGGGACTGATAGCTTCTTGACTCATGTTCCCTGCAGGCTGCTGTAGAGGAGGTAAGTCAAGGAAGTTGTATTTTGCAGGTAAGAGCAATCTTCTCTTAATACCTCCCTCAACCAACACTCTGCATCCAAGTCCCATAGCGTCACTGGGATTCTTATGCCCTGAATGGAGGTTTTTATCATGACACAAATTGACTCTTCTGTATTCTGCTGAGAGTACTTCCTCTGAATTATACACACACACAGGCAATGGGTTTATTATGTGTGTTTTACTTTCTGTGGCCCCTTCACCTTCCTACATTCAGCCCTTTCAGTGTATTGATAAGAATTAATGTTTTATCATATGAACAAGGGGGATCAAGACAACAATGGAGAAAACCACAGAGATGGCTGACTGGAACTAGTGGGAGTTCATGGACTATGGACAAACAGATGGGAAACCTGCATGGGACCAAACTAGGCTCTCTGGATGTGGGTGACAGTTATGTGACTTTGTCTGTTGGGGGGGGCCTGGCAGTGGCACCAGAACCTAATCCAGGGGCATAAACTGGCTTTTTTGAGCCCAAACTTATGGTGGGATATTATGCTCAACCTTGATACAGGGTACAGGGGTGTGGGGTGGAGCTTGATCCTGCCTCAACTTGGTATGACAGATTTTGGACTCCCCAATGAAGATCTTATCCCATCTGAGGAGTGGAAGGAACTGGGAAGAGAGGGGAAGTGGCAGAAAGAAGGGGAGGGAGGGGAAACTGGGATTGGTGTGTAAAATGAAAAATACAGCAGTCCACAGACTGGGAAAAGATTTTCACCAATCCTACAACTGACAAAGTGCTGATCTCAATATACAGAAAGAACTCAAGAAAATAGTCAACAAAACACCAAATAATCCTATTAAGAAATGGGGTACAGAATTGAAGAAAGAATTCTCAACAGAGGAAATCAAAAAGGCTGAAAGACACTTAAGAAAGTGCTCAACATCCTTAGCTATCAGGGAAATGCAAATCAAACAACTTTGAGACACCATCTTACTCCTGTCAGAATGGCTAAAATTAGAAACACCAATGACGACTCATGCTGGAGAGGATGTGGAGAAAGGGAAACACTCCTCCACTGCTGCTGGGAGTGCAAACTCGTACAGCCATGTCAGAGATCAGTATGGTGGTCCCTCAAGAAAATGGGAATTAGTTTACCACAGGACCTGGCAATCCCCCTCTTAGGCATATACCTAAATGATCCACATCTATGCAACAAAGGAATGTGCTCAACTATGTTCGTAGCAGCATCATTTGTAATAGCAAGAACCTGGAAGCAACCTAGATGCCCCTCAATTGAAGAATGGATAAAGAAATGTGGCATATCTACACAATGGAATACTACTCTGCAGAAAAAAAAAAATGAAGTCTTGAAATTCGCAGGCAAGTGGATGGCACTTGAAGAAACCATCCTGAATGAGGTAACCCTGTCACAAAAAGAGGAACATGGTATGTACTTGCTCATATATGGATTTTAGACCTAGAGCAAAGGATCACCAGCCTATAATTCACACCACCAGAGGAACTAGGATACAAGGTGTATTCTAAGAGATTCATATAAGTTTCCTCACAGAAGGGGGAAAGGACAAGTTAACCAGAGCACATGGGAAGTGGGGGGGGCATTGAATGGAGAGGGAATGAGAAAGAAAAGGGAAGGAGAGGAAAGCATGTGCAACTAGGAAGATTTAGACAGGGTAGGAATAGAAGATGAGAGAGAGAAAAAAAAATGAATGAATGAACATAATAGAGGGAGCCATTATTTGTTTGAAGAGAAAACTGAACCTAAAGAAATATCTAGAGACCTGCAAGATTGACTCCAACTAACAATTTGAGTAACAGTGGAAAGGCTATCATAAATGACCTTCCCTGAAAATGAGATCAACAACTAACTTAACCACCATCATGGAGCCGTCATCTAATACCTGTTGGAAACAGAAGCAAATACCCATAACTAAACACTGAGTCAAACTAGAATACAGATGCAGAGAGAGAGGACAAGACCAGATTGCAGAAACACATAGAGACAGCTGTCCTGAACAAGGAGGAGCTAACAGGCCCCCAGACTGATAGCTGGGAATCCAACATGGGATTGACTCAGACCCCCTGAATATGGGTCTCAGCTAGAAGGCCTGAGCAGTCAAAAGGACCCCAGACAGTGGAACCAGGATGTATTCCTGGTGCACAAAAGGACCTTGTGGACACATCCCCCATGGAGGGATACTGCCTTAACCTAGAGACAGGAGAGAAGTCCTAGTCTCTACTTTAAATGACTTGTCAGATTTACATGACCCCACCTAGATGGCATAGCCCTACATGTGGAGTGGGGGGGTGAATGGGAGGGGAGGGTGGTCAGGGTGTATATGAGGGGGGATAGAGCGAGGGAGGGAAAACTGTGGTCGACATGTAAAATAAAAAAAATTTTAAAAAATAAAATAAAAATAAAAGTAGGGAAAAAAGTAAAACAAAATTTTAAATAAAAATATTAACGAAAAGAATTAATGTTTCCTGAGCACTTCCATTTTTTGCTATATTTTTAAGAATTTAAAATATTTATTTTTTGATTATACACAAAGTATAATTTTACTGACTTATTAGGTTATATTTAGGAATATACCTATTTCTAAATATACTTATATTGTACAATAACAATTAGTAATAAAAAAAGAGGTCATGCATTTCCTGAAGTAGACTAGTTAGGATTATATAGGAGGGTTTGGAAAGAAAAAAGAAGGGTGAAAAGCAATCAAAGTATAATATTGAAAATTTTAAAGATAAAATATTACTTTGGGGGCCAGCAGCGCAGCCCCGGCTCCCACGGATCTGCCTCTTGCTTCAACAGTGTTTGGATGGAGCAGACCTGGGCACGCCCTCCGTTATCTGGGTCCCAGCAGCTTCTGGCCGGCCTCTCCAGTCGCAGCCTCCAGGACCATCTCCTCGCCCCCGGCTCCTAGGACCAGCCAGCTCCGTCCGCACACAGCGCCTCAGCCATGGCCTCCCAGGTTCGTCAGAACTACTCTACCGAAGTGGAGGCTGCCGTGAACCGCCTGGTGAACCTGCAACTGCGGGCCTCCTACGCCTACCTCACTCTGGGCCACTATTTTGATCGGGATGACATGGCTCTGGGCGGTGTAGGCCACTTCTTCAGCGAATTGGCCGAGGAGAAGCACCAGGGTGCCGAGCAACTCCTCAAGTTTCAGAACGACCTTGGGGGCCGCGCACTCTTCCAGGATGTGCAGAAGCCATCTCAAGATGAATGGGGTAAAACCCAGGAGGCCATGGAAGCTGCCTTGGCCCTGAAGAAGAACCTGAACCAGGCCCTCTTGAATCTTCATTCCCTGGGTTCTGGTCGCAGTGACTTCCTGGAGAGCCACTTCCTGGATGAGGAGGTGAAGCTCATCAAGAAGATGGGCAACCACCTGACCAACATCCGTAGGTTGGCTGGGCCCCAGCCAACGCAGACTGGCGTGCCCCAGCCATCTCTGGGAGAGTATCTCTTTGAGCGGCTCACTCTCAAGCATGACTAGGAGGCCTCCCCTTCCAAGGGGTTCCCTCCCTCTGCTCTGCACCAGCCAGCCTCAGGACCCTCACCCGAACCTCTCAAGCCACTAAGCAGCTTTGTAACCGCCCTGAAGCCCCTCTCAGATCTTGGACCAAGTAAAAATAAAGCTTTTTGAAAGCTTAGGGTTATACATGACAACTGATTCCTCATAAATGAGAACCTTAATAAAATCATTATTATTCAAATTTCTAATTATAAAATAATTTTATACTTGTATTCTAATCACCATTTCCCTTCCATCAACTACTCTAGATACTGTGGAAACATTTCAGACACAAAAGCTTAAAAATGGATATATATTGCAGAATGATAATATAAGTAATGGAAGCTCACTCTATAGTCGTATTGTATACCAAAATAAGAATGTGTTCAACTTTGCAGTTGAACTTTGCAGGAATTGGGACTATTTTATGGATAAGTAATGGTCGTGCCAGATACTGAATAATGATGAGCTTTGCTTTTAGAAGTGACAAAGAAGTGGGCAAGAAAGAACATTTCAGAAATCAGATTGGTGACTACCTAATTGTCATCATAGACCCTTCATCTAGTGATTGAAGGAAGTAGATGCAGAGATTCACAGCAAACACTGGGCTGAGCTCCAAGAGTCCAGTTAAATTGAGGGAGGGCTATTATATGGGCAGTGAGTGTCTAGATCATGATGAGAAAACTCACAGCAGCAGCTGACCTGAGATAATGGGAGCTCATGGACTCTGGACTGACAGCTAGGGAGCCTGAATGGGACGGACCTAAACTCTCCCACAACTAGTGACAGTTGGGAGACTTGGTCTATTGTAGGGTCTGCAATTTAAGGCTTCTATCACACTCTACTTCCCAAATAATGACTCAGAGGCTTAATATTACTTATAAATGTTTGGCTAATGGCTCAGGATTATTATTATCTAGCTCTTACAACTTAAATTAACCCATTTCTATTAGTCAATATTTTCCCATGTGACTGGCATTATCAGTCCACTGGCATGTTGCTTCTTGGGTAGCTTCTGGCATCTCCTGACTCTAACCTTCTCTTGTATCTATTATTGGATTTCCCACCAGCTTTAACCTGACTTCTCGTAGGCCAAAATGGAATTATTTATTAACCAATTAGAGCACACATACTCACAGTGTACAGATCGACATCCTGTATCTGGGTCCCCCAGCAGTGGGACCAGGACCTGTCCCAGATGAATGAGCTGGCTCTTAAGAACCTATTTCCTATGGTGAGATGGCTTGTACAGTCTTGATGTAGGAGAGGAGCTTGTTCCTGCCTCAACTTGATATGCCATGTTTTATTGACTTCCATGACAGGCCTTACCCCTTCTGATGGAGATGGAGGAGAAGATGTGGAAGGGTATATATAGGAAGTGGGGGGGGGAGGGAGGTGAGGAGAGAGGGGAAACTGTAGTTGGTGTGTAAAATAAATAAATAAATAAATATAGCAGATGACATTTACAGAAAAGTAGCTGTGTGTGAATGATACAATGCATACATTCTCACACCAAAATGAATGCATCTGATAAGCTCTTTATTTCTGAGTTCCTGTCACAGTGGAACAGAACTTGTTAACATACAATATGCAGTGTTGAATAATAGCAGATCTTCAAGGATGGTCAGGTTACATAAAATTCATCCAGACAGCAAAGATGCTAAGGTGCAAGTTAGAATTGTGATTTAACAAACCTCTGCAATTACATGGGGTCATAGAAGAGGTCATCATGCCAGTGTCTGGTTCTTGTCTCAGATTTATGGATGTTGGAGTCAGAGAAAGTTCCATAGGAATCATAGGCTCTCAGATTCAGCCAAGAACTCAGGTCCTTTATGAGCATTTTCCTCCCTCAAACTGGTAGATGAACCAAGCATAAGGGGGAATTGTCAGATAACAGTAAGGAAGATGAAAACAGTCAAATCAGGCCACCAAATGTGTAAAGCAAGTGTGTTCAGGGTTCATTACTCTTCATCTCTTGTAACCATTCACTCTTGGCCTTTTCTGAAGAGGATCAAAGAATTTTAAAAGAACTATACTCTAGATTTAACTAGATTTGATTCAGTCAGTCATAGAAACATCTTAACATTTAATAGCATTCAACTTGTAAGCATACATTTCTATGTACAAAGCAGAAAGGTTTAAAGTTATCTACAACATTCTAAAGACTAGAATTACAGTATTATCTGATAGACAGTATGATGTTTCTTCACTCAGGTCATGACTTAGCCGTTGTCCCTTAGAATCATAAAAGAAGGTCTTGAACAATCGCTTTAGCTCCTTGCCCCCTGTTTCCAGAGTTGTTCTCCAACTCAAAGCCATCAATGGGGAAATATAAGTTTTTTAAAGGATGTTTTGAATTCCTTGTTTCTCAAGGTATAGATCAGGGGGTTCAGGGAGGGGGTCACAGTGGTGTACAGAACTGCAATGGCCTTGTCCAGGATCCCAGCAGTCCCTAGCGCTGGCCGTACATAAGTGTATAACACAGTGGAATAATAAAAGGTGACTACAATCAGGTGGGCAGAGCAGGTGGAGAAGGCACGCTTCTTGCCCTCAGCTGAACGGATGCGCAGGATGCTGGCGATGATGAAGCCATAGGATGTCATAGTCAATAGGAAATTCAGGCCAGTTAGGAACATGTCTGTTATGACAGTCATGATGTCGTTGATAAAGGTGGGACTACAGGACAGAATGAGCACAGAAGGGATCTCACAAAAGAAGTGTGTGATGAGATTGGGACCACAGAAGGACAGCGGCAACACAAGACAAGTGAGCACCAAGGAATTGAGAGCCCCCGTGAACCACACAAAGGTTGCAAGGGCCACACAGACCCTGCCATTCATGAGGGTTCCATAGTGCAATGGTCGGCAGATTGCAAGATAGCGGTCATAGGCCATGGCAGAGAAAAGCAGAAGCTCAGAGCCCAGGACCCAAGAGAAGATGAACATCTGTGTGAGGCATCCACTGTATGATATGGTGTTCTCTGTCACCAAGCTCTGCAGGACCTTGGGCAGGACAGTCACAGTGCAGATCACATCCATCAGGGCAAGGTTAACTAGGAAGAAATACATGGGGGTATGGAGGCTGGGACTTCTGTGGATGGTTGTGATAATGAGGCCATTGCCAACTATGGCCATTGTCAACAAGGTAAAGAAGAAGCAGAAGAGGGCATCCTGGACCCAGGGGTCATCCACGAACCTTTGCAGGATGAACATGGTCACAACCGACTGGTTCTCAGGTGCCATGGGTAACACTGACTATGTGCAGGAAGTGAGTTGTAGCTTGGGCCTCTGGCAAAAGAAGAAGTGAGCTTTATTCTGATTAACTAAAAATAATTTTAAATCCCAGTTAATAATCCATTCTGTGTAATGTGGTATCTGCTCTGGCAAGAAAATATAACCTGTATTTTCATGGCTCACATGCTAAATGAAATATCAGTTCAAGGACATACCCCACACAGGCTTTGTCTGAACATGGGTGGACCCTGAATCCAAGGTCCCTGAATATATTCTTCCATATGTGTTTCACCTCATCCCACAAGGAGAACGTGTGACTATGCTTGCATGAGCTATTCAGGACACAGTGACTTGAGACTGTGGAATGGATGCTAGGAAGACACAGTTGTTCATCATTTAGGCTTTGGAAGGGCCCAGGGGCAGTGAGTACAGTTTACTGTCCTACTAGCTGCTTTTCTAAGAGTGTGGGGAACATTAAGTGAATGACAGATTCTCTGGAGATGTAACCAATGTGGTCATTGTGACAATGTAACTTCTCATGCAGGTGACAACAATGACCCCAGAATTTCCTATCTAGGAACTCTAGCCCACTAGTACCTGAATTTAGGGGACAGCATTCAAGACTCATACCCAACCTGAGTTGAAAAATATGGTCTCCTGAAGATCATGGGGTATCTCTCAACCCTTTAAACATTAGGAACTCAGCTGATTCCAGCCTCAGATCTTGAAAAGCTGCACAGAGAACCATTTAAAGGAACCAAACAATCCCCATAGGACTCCACATTGGCAGTCACAGTCCAGCATGCAAATGGAACACACAGACCCCAAATGATGAGAAAGTGGGCCTCTATTGAGAACATATGTGCTTGTGGAAACCTAGAATTGTGCCTACTGGACCATTTATGTACTGTTCATTTGCAACTTCCTGCTACTTGACTCTACCAATAAAGATATAGTGAAAGAAGAGTCCCTGAGTGTGAGTTATGAATCAGAACCTAAGGCCAGGTTGACAGTGACAACCACAGGAACTTCTGTTGTGGTCTGCTACTTGAAAGGCACCCAGTATGATAGACTGCTCTCCCCCAACTATCAAATGTAGCTTGAAAATACATTCAGGTTTCACAATAGAGCATTTCACATGTTTTCAGACAAGAATGTTCTAAAAGAGAAAACAGTTGTGGACACTTATTTACTGGCGCTCCCCACACTATGCACAACACTCAGTACTCTATCTTACCATATTCCACAGGGCTTTGCAGGGAAGAGGGATGTAGGTGTATGTGACTATGCTGTGCTAGGTCTGGTCCCATTTTAAACTCATCAAATAAACCTCATTGGCATGGTAGCATAGCATGGGCTGGAAGACCTGGGAATCTTCTCCTGGGGTCAATCTTCATTATTTGTTTTCACAGGGCCTCAGATCAGGCTGAACACAAGTAGCCCTTCTAATTTTCAAAGAGCTCAAGTATTCTCTGGGCATTGTCTGGGATGTACATGGTGTCCTTGAACACCAGGACTAATAGATCTAACTGGTAGAGTTAGGAAAAATTTAGTAAGCTAAGATAAACAAGAGCACACTTTCAAAAACATGTATCAAATCCTGCCCAGGAAATTCCAATTCTAAATGGTATTTGATACTGATATAAAATTCAATTTGATCTGGACTTCTTCTATTTTTTGTTTGTTGTTGTTGTTTTGTTTTTTCTTGTTTTTTTTTGCCACTGAAATCAACACATCCCTTATTTTATGTGTCTTTGAGGCCAACAGAAATTTAGGATGCCTCTGTGTCATCATTCGCATACCGGAGAGATGAGTCACTGTGTCAAACCACATGAGACTATGCTCCCTGCTCCTCAC